CCTAGAAAGGACAAGAGCTCCACAATGAGAGCAACAGAACCAAAAAATCTGGGCACAGGGGTTGTTTCTGAGACTGATACTCTACCCAAGGACCATTCATGGAGATAACTTAGAAACCCTGCACAGAAGTAGCCCAAGGCCATTCAGTGTCCAAGTGGTTTCCCTAGTAATGGGAACAGGGACTGTCTCTGGCATGAACTGATTGACCTGCTCTTGGATCACCTTCCTCTGAGGGGAGAGCAACCTTACCAGGCCATAGAGGAAGACAATGCAGCTACTCCTGATGAGACCTGATAGACTAGGATCAGAAGAAAGGAGAGGGGGACCTCCCTTATCAGTGGACTTGGGGAGGGACATATGTGGAGAAGGGGGAAGGAGAGTGGGATTGGGAGGGGAGAAGAGAGGGAGCTACAGGGGGGGGATTCAAAATGAATAAACTATAATTAATAATAAAAAATTAAAAATAAAAAACTATACAGAACAGAAGAAAAATAAGATTTTTTTTAGGTTATTTTACAACACAATCAGTATCAGGATGTACTACATTCTTAAATTCTAATTCCTCTGTTCCAAACAGGGTTTTTCAATTCCCCTTTTTTGGTTCCTAGTTTATTATACACAGCCCCCAAAAATCAATCTGATCCTTCAACACTTTGTCAAGAGTTATTCTCACCTAATCATCTAGTTTTACTGCTCAGTATGTCCACCTTCCCCCAGACAATGTAACACGAGTTAGAAAACAGTATCATGTATATTTAAAATATGTGTATTCATATAAACTATTTTAATGTTTGTATTACTTGTGATGTTAGTTAATATTTCTACTCAACAGTGTCATCATTCTACATGTAGTAGAAAAACGGAGGAAAGTAGGCCATTCTATATCTTTAAATAGTCTTCAGAAATGTAAATGTTCAATAGCTTATCAGGAGGCTTCTGCCCTGAGAATTCTGAATTTCCTTCTCAGCAGCCCTTAATTGTCTGAAGGTCTGGAGTGCCTTGTGACACTTGCCCTATCTGCTCTGGCACGTCACCTGATTGTGTCATTGTGTTGCTTGAACTGTGCTAGTTTAGGATAGGAAAAGGGTTCTCCTCCAGAATCCGTGACCTTACCAGCCACGGGTATTGACTAGATCGACAGTACTTGGCATGAATCCTTCCTACACAGTGGTCTTTAAATCAGTTAGGTAACTGATCATTTCCTCTAGGAGATAAAAACGGTTATCACACTTTTGAAAATATCTTTCCATGTTGGTCATATTTGTTCATGGGCATTATAACCAGAAAAAACAAAACAAACAAACAAACAAAACCCCAAACATTAATTACTTTTCTCCCTTGGAAGCTCGTTTGACATCTTCAGATACTATGAGAGCTAGACTCAAGGAGCATGCTTCTAGATGGTTTCAGCTCAATTATTCCATGTCCTGTATCAAATATATGTGTTTTTTTTTCAGCAATCATGTCTTATTTTCTAGACAATAAACAAGGGTAACAGTGTGAAAAGAGACCCAACATTCTGGAATTGGGATTTTTGTAGCTAGTCTATGTATATATGTGATAACGTTATCACCCTAAACATGATAACTTTATTTAAACACATGCATGCACTTTTTAAGTGCAAATAAATAAATATACAAAATAATATAAGTACCTATGACTTTTTTTATTATTATTTTTTTATTAATTACACTTTATTCATTTTGTATCCCCCCGTAAGCCCCTCCCTCCTCCCCTGTCGATCCCACCCTCCCTCCCCTTTCTGCATGCATGCCACTCCCCAAGTCCACTGATAGGGGAGGTTCTCCTCTTCTTTCTGATCTTAGTCTATCAGTTCTCATCAAAAGTGGCTGCATTGTCCTCTACTGTGGCCTGGTAAGGCTGCTCCCCCCTCAGGGGGAAGTGATCAACGAGCAGGCCAATCAGATTATGTCAGAGGCAGTCCCTCTTCCCATTTCTATGGCACCCACTTGGACACTGAACTGCCATGGGCTACACCTGTGCAGGGGTTCCAGGTCATCTCCACGAATAGTCCTTGGTTGGAGTATGAGTCTCTGGGAAGTTCCCTGTGTTCAAATTATCTTGTTCTGTTGCTCTGCTTGTGGAGTTCCCGTTCCCTCCAGCTCTTACTATTTCCCACTTCTTACATAAAATTCCATTCACTCTGCCCATCAGTTGGCCATCAGGCTCAGCATCTGCTTTGACATTTTAAAGAACCTCAGTATTTTTATTCCTTCTACCTTTCTCTGTATGGCTCTCATTTCCCATTCTCTTGATAAAATATATGTCCATATTTTTTTCTTATTTTCTTTTTTATAATACCAAACCCAAGTGGTCAGCCTTAAGCACATAAACTTATAAGCAACTAAGTAGACTAAGTTGTTTTTATTTGTATATGAATATATAACAATAACAATTAAAGAAGAAAAATCATGAGTACAAGAAAGAGGAGGGAGGACAGAAGAGTAGTTAGATAGAGGGAGAGCGGTGAAAATTATGTAAATACAGTACTTAGCTGTGAATTCAGAAAGGAAGGTATATAGCTAAAATTGTTGATTTTTATGCTTTTGTTAATAGCTTTATATCATTACACTTCAAGTGTTTCTTTGGTTTTACAATTTTGTAATCTTAAAAATTTCTATATTGTTTGAAATCAGAGCCACTCTAAACTTCCAGGGGCTGCCTGGAAAGGTAGCAGGGAACTGAACCCTGGACTCTCAAATTCAGGCTCAGGAGACTTATCAATTGAGCTATCCAGATTGGAAGGGGGAGGATTCTAACATGGACTCTATTGCCTGCTTTTGGATCTGCTCCTCCTGGCAGGACTCCCTTGCCTGGCCTCGGGGGATGAAGATATGTGCAGTCCAAATATGACTTGATGTTCTGGGGAAGGCTAATACAGGGAGAAGTGGGCTTCCCTTTTCTGGGGGAAAAGGGAAAGGAGAAGAAGAAAGGAGGGGAAGTTGGGAGGAACTGAGAGGAGGGAAGGAAAGGGTCACTCTCTGGATGTAGAGTAAATAAACTAATACAAAAATTTTAAAAAGTAAAAAGAAAATCCACATTGTATTCCTCAAAATAATTACTTGTGCATTTTGAATGCAATTCTTACGTTTGCATAGTTTATTATTTCTGATGCATATTTGTTCTGTTCCTTTTGTCTGTGTGCATGTGCAGTCTGTTCTTGTACTGATAACATCATTCTATCTTTTTTTTTTAGTCTAGTTTGGAAGACATTTCTTCTTCTTTGTTTCTCTCTGTTGTCGTCACCATTACCATCATCCTCATCATCATTATCATCACCACCAACCTTATTTTAGGGGTCAAACTTAAGATCTTATTTAGGTATGACACCAAAGAGCCAAATCTTCAGCATTTGTCTTTTGTTCTTAAGTTTAGGTCTATGCTTATCTACTGTACATACCTAAAGCATGATGATCTCTCAGCCTGATCAGTACTCCTATTCTCCTGTAGAAATTTGTCCTTACACTGTACTAATTTATTCATGTAATTTCTGTTTTATGTTTTAAAAAATATATCGATTTGCAGTTGTTATTCCCAAGGGTTTTATGACTTGGAAATAAACTATTATGTATATTTATTTTCAAATGCAAATAAAACTATAGATATTTAAATAAAACTTATAATGCCATTCCAAAGCTATTGAGAAAGATACAAGATTAATGTAGACTTTTTAAAAAACTTTTTACTGGTTCTTTGTGAATTTCATATTATGCACCACAGTCCCACTCATTTCCCTCTCCCTTCATACCCACACTCGACCCTTGAAACTTTCCCTCTAACAGAGAAAAAGAAATCTTGTTGGGGAAGCTGCAGTGTGTCACAGGGTGTCCCACAGTATATTCTTTTGTTCACTCTTTTGCGCTTGCAAATGTTCCTTGCAATGACTTGTTGGTCTAGTAGGAGGCTCTTGGCTTCTGCCACTCTATCAAAACTGGAATCTCATCAGGACTTCTGTAGGATGACCAGTTTTGCCCTGTGTTATGGAGACCTTGTAGTTTTGGATTTGTAGGGCTGGCACGTGAGCAGTTCATCGATGGGGTAGATGTTGGGGTGGGTCAATTCAAAGCCCTGGATCTGGGCCTGTAAGGTATCTGAGCTGGTCATCCCAATGTTTCTCCTGCTCTCATGCCCTCATTGCCTGATCACCAGCTATCCAAAAAGCAGGGCCAGCTCTATCCTGCTGCCCAAGTAAGGTGCAGGGAGGGCATGCTCTCCTGAGTGTTACAGCTGGTGAGAGACTGACCATTTCTCCTGCTCTCATGACTCCAGCTCTCCTGTTCTCTTGCCCCAAGAGACAGCTCTCTCAGTATGCTCAGATGAGGGGTGGGGCCAGTTCTGCACAGCCCTTAAACATCAGCATGTCCCTGGGAGGCAGTGCAGACCAGGGACATCTACTTGGCCTTTGGTGGTAACAGAGCCTGCTGCTGTAGGGTCACAGACCCAGATATGGCCACTAGCAGCATCAGAGGCCAGCACCGCACCATGGTCCCAGATGACATCACCAGCTACTCACATCAACCTGTTTCTCCCTACCCTTGAGTCTCCAGTTCTGCCTGTCTCCATTGTGCCCATATCCTTCTGTTTCTCTTTCTCTTCCATTTCTCCAGCACTTACCTGCTCCTTTTATTGGTGCCAGGAGTCTCCGAGTGTCGCAGGGTGCTCTCAGAGTGCTACGCCTTGCTTGTACATTATGACATCAGGCAGGATCTATCCCCAGGCCTGTACAGCCCAGGCCTAGTGGTCATCTCAGGCTAGCTTCCTGTCATGGAACCATCACACTGTTCTGGTGGTCTTCTGTCTAGTGATCACTCTCACCTGGTTCTTGTGGTCCCAGGCAGTCTAGTCTCTTACCTGCTCCCCATCCTGACATCCTGTGTGAGACTGCATGGGGCCAGGCTGGTAGTTGCCTCAGCCATGCTCCTTATCTGGGAGCCCTGGTGCCAGCCTGGTGGTCATCTCAGCATCAGTTTTTTTTAAGGCATATTAAGTTACTAATCATTCAGACATTCATAGGTCTGAACACTAACTATAGACATGGCCTCTCTCTTCTCTGCCACCTACTGAGATACACGGGACACAGCAGCTACACCTGTAATGCCTCTAGGGGCAGTAGTCTTTCATTCAGAAGTCAATGGTTTTATTCAGGACTCAGTTATGTATTTAGTTTTTGTCATGACTCTTTAGTGACTAACAGCCATTATTATTCTCTCTATATTTTTTTATAAGTTGAATTTGAAGGGAAAAAAATGTCTGTACCTATGTAGGGTGGAATTTCTCAGAATGATTTAATTGAGCTGATTCTGAAAACAACAAATGAACAAACAAACAAAACCTACACAGGACAAAAATACCACAAAACCCACCAGACTAAAGGAAGGGATATATGGTAGAGTTTGCAGGAAGGACAGGGAAGCAGAAACGTTGTAATTAAACTGTAATGTCAAAAAAAAAAAATTAAAGAGGAAGAAGAAAAAAAAATGTAAGGCTCAGAACAAGAAAAATCCTCTGTTGAACCTGACGCTGTTAGAGCAGTTGCCCAACGGCTTTGTTCCCAGATCCCACAGCCATTTCAAATGGTTATAATTTCAGAGAATTTAAAACATTTCCAGTGCCATTGTTTCGTTTACAAATGAGAGAACACATAGAATACTGATTGTGCCTAGCCTGGCTTATTTCACTTTGACTCATAATCTCCAGTTGCATACATATTTTCTGCAAAGTACCAAAAAAGACATGAATGAAAGTAGAAAGAGTGTATTAGGGAACAGGAACGGGATTTGGCTGTTAGTGTTATAGAGAAGTAAATATCTTCAAAGTACCTATAAATATATAAAATGTCATAACACATGTACTATTTTACATAATTAATGCATACACAATAATCCCTCAGATCCAACTAGCATGATTCTGATTTTGCTCATGGCAGCATGGCTATGGTACGGGGACAAAGTTGAGGGTCATTTACACAGTCTAGGAGGAAACAGAAGCATGCTTTGTTTGACTAGCTGTCAGGCTAAAGTGGATAGAGACTGCGAACTATAGCACACACAACAGGAGAAAGAATTTATCTTGAAGCTATCTTTATTTTGGCCTTTATGTTTGAATGATAAGATTTTAGCTTGACAGTTGTTTTCTTCTAGCATAAATATATTTCAGTCTTGTTTGATCTCTGGCATTGTAGAAAACTTTGCTCTCAACACAGTTCATGGCAGATATTTTGTGATGTCTGTACTGTGATTCAGTGTTCACCATATGACATTTACTCCCAGCTAAAAAAAAGTCCTTCAGGATAGTTTCACTATAGTTTTTGACTTTGTGCTAATCATTGTTTACTACGCAATGTTCTTATGCAACCAGAGGACTAATAACCCAGTGTATATCCAGAATATTTTGTGTTGCACATACACGCACACACACAGAGTGACATCTATGTGTCTGTGTGAACATTTGAATTCAGATACTCATGCATGCAGGTGATTGAAGGCCAGAGGTTGATACTTGGGTATCTCTCTCAAAAACTCCCTAACATATGTTTTTTTGAGGCATGTTCTTTTACTGAACCTAGAACTTTCTGGCTTGTCTTCACTGGGCCCCAAAGGCTATCTTGTCTTTGCCCTACAAGCATAGAAACAGCAGAAGAGGATGGTTTAGTTGGCCTTTTACATGGACTCTGGCTTCCAAATTCAGGTCCTTCCACTTTCACAATACTTTCCTGACTGAGCCTTCTTCCCACCCCCACTTGCTGATTCTTGGTAAGTAAAGAGGAAACACTGTTTCTTTTGGTCGATAATGAAGATTCTGTTCCCCAACTCTAGATATAGAAAAGGGTCATTAATTATTTTATTGGTCTTCAGGACTATCTGTGATGGAGTTTTGACCAGAATGAAATTAGTGGCTATTGCTTGACTGGAAGAATCTAAGAAGCTCACTTAAAGACATAACAGCTTACTTACTAGTTCTCTGTGTGATAATTCAAAACGTGTTAAGTGGCTTGACCTCATTTTTTTTTCTGCTTCTTGACATAGTACAAAGGGAACAGGAACTCCACAAGCAGAGCAACAGAACAAGATAATTTGAACACAGGGAACTTCCCAGAGACTCATACTCCAACCAAGGACTATTCGTGGAGATGACCTGGAACCCCTGCACAGGTGTAGCCCATGGCAGTTCAGTGTCCAAGTGGGTTACATAGTAATGGAAAGAGGAACTGCCTCTGACATAATCTGATTGGCCTGCTCATTGATCACTTCCCCCTGAGGGGGGAGCAGCCTTACCAGGCCACAGTAGAGGACAATGCAGCCACTTTTGATGAGAACTGATAGACTAAGATCAGAAAGAAGAGGAGAACCTCCCCTATCAGTGGATTTGGGGAGTGGCATGCATGCAGAAAGGGGAGGGAGGGTGGGATCGGCAGGGGAGGAAGGAGGGGCTTATGGGGGATACAAAATGAATAAAGTGTAATTAATAAAAAAAATAATAAAAGATTTAAAAAAAATAGAACTTTGTTTTTTCTATTGACTCATGTCCATGTCTTTACTTTAGGAAAATGATGAGTGAAGTCACATAGTGAAAAAGGACTGTAACATAAAGGAACCTGTGTTTTAACAAATTTAATCCTTAATTTTCCAATTTTTAACATCTTCTTTTGTGAAAAGAAACAAATCCCATATTTTGTTAACCTGCAAAAATGTCTTTGTGCATGTGTGAAGGGTTTTAGCTGAATAATCCAACACAGATTTAATATTTAAAAGGCTCATGGTTAAAGAAAAGTTTATTAGTTTTCAAACTTAAGCAAATTAAATCACAGATTAGAATAAAAAGGCACTAGTAGAGTGAAATTATGCAAAGAACAGATGTCTAGAGTTCCTTTGGACAGAGAGCAAAGAAGAAAAGGAAGCTAACGGAATGAGGCTCTGGGTTTTATGCTCTACAGACAGTATAAATACAAGATTATTTTCAAGGTAAAAAGTTATATGTGACTTAATTACTTTTGTTTGCTTTTTACCAAGTCCATGAACATATTATGAAATATGATAGCACCTTTTATTATTCTTTTTAATTCTAGGTGCAGAACAATTAATTAATACGTATGTTGAAAATATAAGTTTGTACCAATTATTTCAAGAAACTGAAATGAACTTTTTCTGCCTGATATTAGCTAATAATTTCAAAACTGGTTAAACTTAAAGATCTTAATTGTAAACAACCTGTCATGGTGTGAGTAATCTAGTGAGTTAGTGGTTGTCTACCACAAAATATCATGGATTGGTTAGTATGCACAAGATTAACAGTGATTTCTTTACATAAGCTTAAGTATATAATGGTTTTCTTTTCATGAGTCTAATGCATACACTTCTCTTTTCTTCAGTATCTACATGGAATTTCTCAGTAGTTATATATCAAAGCTTCTATCTTAAAGCCAAATTGGTAAATCCTTGGGGATTCATTAGTTTGGGTTTGAGAATAGAGATTAAAAAAAAAATCGAGTTTAACATACATAGCTTCCAAGTCCTCTACTGTTCAGGGAAGATATAACCCTAACATTTACTCTCGATTCATGTACAGCCTGTTCTGAGACCAATTTTTGTGGTTTCATTTGGGTTTAGTGCCTAATTCTAATGCCAGTTGGTAAGAATGGAGAAATGAACTAACTCCTAGAGGAGTTTCCAAACCCGCAGAGCTAAGCAAGGGGTAGAGATTTTGAGTTTCAGGTTTCCTATGGTTTCAAATGAAAGGAGACAAAGGCAAAATGCAGTGTACATGACATTTGTGCAGGAAGACCAATATAAAGTGCCCTTGGACTGCTTCAGTGAGGTTTGAGTCTCCCTCACCCTTCCGCAGGAGGGAGAGCTTTCCCTCTGCATCCTCTGCTCTTCACAGGGATCAAAGAAAATGATCTTCCCAGAACCAACCTTCAGAGAAAAGGATTCCTTTAGTTTTCCTGCTTACTCATCGAATTGAATTTAAACCATGCTTTTACATATGCACTCAAAATCATCTTTATCCTCTCTTTTGCCCTAAAATTTGAGAAGTCTACACACAAAATGATGCCACAATATTATAACTATTATTTTTTTCTAAAATATTATCTAAAACTGGAGTTAAAACAGTATAAAATGAAATATCAACATATGCCAAGTAATGTCATAAAGTAACTTTACTTTCTAAAATATCATATTAAAGTGGATTCAAAAATTATTATTTCATGAAATATCAATGTATTATTTATGCAAAGAAAGGATAACATAAAATTCTCTGGTTCTGACACACAAATTTTATATCTATTTCTTTTATGTAAATGTTCATGGAATTACCTCTAACATTCTGATTTTTATTTGAGTTAAAAATAAGGAAGATAGAGGCCCTCTGTGCTAGTTTCCTGTCTTGTTCCCTGTTTTTACCTTCTTCTGATGTCTATCAGGTTTGCTTTTCTTAATGAAGATTGGCTATCTTACCCAGGTTCCTCCTTCTTGCTTAGCTTCTATAAGTGCACAGATTTTAGTATGATTTTCCTATATTTTATGTCTAATATCCACTTATAAGTGAGTATATACCATGTGTGTCTTTCTGCTTCTGGGATAGCTCACTCAGGATGATCGCTACCCAGCAAGGTATTAAAGTGGATGCTGAGACTTTTAGCCAAATTTTGGGCAGAGTGCAGGGAATCTTATGGAAGAAGGGGGAGACAGAAAGACCTGGAAGGGTCTGGAGCTCCACAAGGAGAAAAACAAAACTAAAAATCTGAGCCAAGGGGTCTTTTCTGAGACTGATACTTTAACCAAGGACCATGCATGGAGATAAACTAGAACCCCTGCACAGAGGTAGCCCGTGGCAGCTCAGTCTTCAAATGAGCTGTTTGATTGCCTCCCTCTAAGGGCAGAGCAGCCTTACCAGTCCACAGAGGAAGATGATGTAGCCGGTCCTGATGAGAGCTGATAGGCTAAGGTCAGATGGAAGGGGAGGAGGACCTCCACTATCAGTGGACTGAGGAAGGGACATGGGAGGAGAAAAGGGAAGAAGAGAGGGAGGGAATAAGAGGGGATGAGGGTGGGGCTACAGCTGAGATGCAAAGTGAATAAATTGTAATAAAACAATATATTAAAAAATAAGG